CCTCAAGTCTTCCTGTGCTGTCTGAGCTATGTCTGCAGGCGCTGGGGAAGCCCTCTGCTGAGTCTCCTCAGGAGCACTGTCTTCTAATACCGGCTCAGATTTCTCTTCTTGGATTTCAGATACAGGTTCTTGTTCTGGTTCTGGTTCTGGATCAGGCTCTGGTTCCGCAACAGTTTCCTCTAAATGTTCTTCTAAGTCATTGCTTTCACAGGAAAATCTGAGAATTATCATTCTGCCATCTTACTAATTCAATAAGAAATTCTCATCAACTGTTAATTAACAACAGAGATCTGGGCCCCAAAATAAAATAGCTCCTCCTTGCCAAAACAGATCTAAATATCACTAAGTATAAATATAAAAACAAACAAGTTTTCAAAAACCACTCAATGAGGTTATCTTAACTGGAAACTGATTATTTGTTAAAATTCTGATAGTCAAATGAACCAAAATAGATCAAATGTACCAAAATATTACTCTATTCACTTGGAATCTCTTAAATTGTCAAAATCTCTATCTATCATATAAGGAGCTCTGGTAGCGTACTGGTTAACGAATCGGGCTGTGAACCACAAGGTCAACAGTTCAAAACTACCAGCTGTTCCGTGGGATGAGGATTTCTGCTCCCGTAAAAATTTACAGCCTCGGAAACCCTGTACAGGGTTGCTATGAGTCGGAACCAACTCCCCGGCACATAACAATAACAACATATTGCCAGAAGAACAAGCAAATCTGTGTTACATGGCTCTTAAAAGCCATGTTTATCAGAAGGGACCAATCATTGGAATAATTGTTATCATGAATGATTGTGAGGGTTGGAAATGTAAAGATACACGGTTTATAGCAAGGAGGGGAGTGATTAACTTTTCAGTCTAGGAGTGGAGGTCCCTAGGACCATCAAGGGAGAAGAGCAGAGAGTGGGACCCTACCCAGATAAGCAGTGATGCCTGAAATGGAGGCAGAGATGATGACTTGGAGCGATGGAGCAGCTGGAGACTTTAGATCCAGAGAGGGAGAGCAAATGTGTGCTGAAGACCTGGGGGTACGGGGGAAGGATTGCAGAGTATATCCTTTGGTTGATCGATGATGCATGGAGGGGATTGTAACCATGGCAATGAGATGATAGATGATATATAATACTAATGTTCTCCCATGTAAACTATCACATAATTCACAAGAAAACATTTAAAAAAAAAAAAAAAAAACAGAACTAAAAACCAATTAATAACTATGAATTAAAACGACCTATTATTAAACAAGGAGCCGTGCAGATATTAGTGAGTTGGGCTGCTAATCCAAGGGCAGCTGTTCAAAAATCCACCAGCTGGTCCATAGAAGGAAGATGACGCTTTTTGCTCTGGTAAACATTTACAGCCTCTGAAATCCAGTATCAGTTTCTAGGAGTTAGAATGAACTTGATGACACACAACCAGTACCACTACCATTATTAAATAAGGAATATAACAAGTTATATGTGAAGGCTTAAAAATTTCACGGAAAATTTTAAATTAAAAGGTAATGGAATTTTTCCATGAACTTTTTGGAATTCCTCATATTTTTGTTATCTCAGAAATATACCCAAAATAACCAAACCCATTTGTTGTGAAGTCAATTTAAAATTCATAGCAACGCCATGTTACAGAGTAGAACTGCTCTTATCTTTAGACTTTTCAATGTGGTAATCTTTAAGGAAGCAGATGTTATGTGCTGTGGATTCATAGCGATCCTGTACAGGGTTTCCGAGGAGGCTGTGAATCTTTACGGTTTCCCCCGGAACAGCTGGTAGTTTCGAACTGCTGACCGTAAGATTAGCAGCCCAATTCATAACCAATACATTCTTTCCATGGTGTTTCCATACAGCCCTGGATATGTGAACATTGGTTTCTGTACCTGACAGTCTGATCATAGAAAGTTCCAGCATCATCGGCTACCACCTCTGGTGTCTGCTGTCTTTCTTCAGGCTCCTCTACTTCTTCCTCAGATTCTAAGTTAGGGGAGAAAGTTTACAATAATTTTGCTTACTGAATTCCTAAATACAATCATCCCTCAGTATCTGGAGTAATGGTCCAGGACTTCCCTGCAGATTCCAAAAAAGGTAATAGCCAAGTCCATTATATAAAATGGTGACTTATTTTCATATCATCTACACATATCCTTACATAGTTTTAAGAGTACTTGTAATATCTAATTAAATGTAAATAATATGTAAATAGCACGTTATAGTTCCTTTTAACCTTTGAGGGATTGTTTTGCTCTGACTACTTTTCTACCCTGGATTACATTTGATCCCTGGTTGGTTGAATCCATGGATCTGACTGATCACTGGGATCAAAAAGAATACTAAGAAAAACAAATGTACAATAAAATTCGGAAATTCATGACTGTAAGGACAGAAGTATGGCTATTCTAGTGTTCTGGTTAACAACATGGGTTGTGAAGCCATATATGACCAGTGAACCAATCCACTCTCTACTATCTAACTAGCCATATGATATTAGACAAATTACTTACTTCTCTACTTCAGGGTACCAAGCTTTACAAATGGAGACAATAACAATAGTACCTAAGGTACCCATCTGTTAAGGCTGTTGTGTTATACATGATAAAGCACTTAGAGTAGTCACAGCCATGTATCCACAGGTCTCTGTGTTTCTACAACTGAGGAGATGGCTTTGTTATACACTATCTTTAAAGAACGTGTGTACAGTAGAGTCTTAGAAGATTGCATTTGGCATTTCCATTCAGAGAAATGGACAGACATGTTTACTGATATAATAGATTCAAGTTCAACCTAAACTCTAAGTTCCACTTCTGTAACATAACATAACATAACATAACATAACATAACATAACATAACATAACATAACAAGTATCATTTGGAGCTCTTCAGTGCTTTGTGGAAACTAGGGCAAAAGTGCAAAATTATGAGTGTGGGTAGTAATCTGCCCATTTCTGACCCAGTAGTCTCTCTCCTATCTTTTACTAGTAACTGTGATGCTGTCGCAGATTAAATCTGTTAGCTTTTCAAGTACAGAACAATTGAAAGTGATGGTTGACAAAGAATACAAATACAATGAAAACATTCAAAATTCCTATATTCTCAGGGACAGACTGATGTCATTAAACTAAAACATACTGAGCTAGAAACTGAAAATGCTCTTTTTATTACTTACCCTCCTGAGGCTCAGTGACAAAGCCACCAAAGACTTCATCTTGGTATCTGAAGATATCATTATGAACATAGAACTTATTTGCAACAGAGCCCTGCAATATGAACAGAAGTTTACGTTTAAAAAGCCAAATCACACTAACAAGTTCTCAATCCTAGGTAATTGTGTTCCCCTCTACCCCACAGCCCCAAAACATCTGGGAATGTCTAAAGACATTCTGTTTTCAGAACTGGGACACATTGCTATTGGAAACTAGTGAGCAGAGACCATGAAAAATGCTAAACATCTATAATTCATAGGATATCTATCAACGAAGAACTTTCTGGCCCAAACCATTTGCACTGCTAAGGCTGAAAATAAGGAGCTCTAGTGGTACTGTAGGATGAGCAATAAACTGCTAACAACAAAGTCAGTAGTTCAAAATGCACCAGCCACTCCACAGGAAAAAGATGAGCCTTTCTGCTCCCATAAGGTTACATTCTCACAAACCCTATACAAGGTCATTATGAGTCACAATTGACTCGGTGGTGCTGAGTTTGGTTTTTGGTATTGTTGTCAGGTGCCATCGAGTCAGAACCGACTCACAGTGACCCCCATGCACAGCAGAACAAAACAATGTCTGATCCTGTAAAGTATGGAAGAAAAAGACTACACTCAAATATATTTTGATTTCTCAAAATATTTAGTCTTAAAGATAGTGGACTTGGAAGGCATGTATCCTATAAGATAAGCACTGTTGTTGTTAAGTGCCCACAAGTCAGTTCCAACTCACAGCGACTCTACATAGGATTTTCTGAGGAGCAACTGATGAATGAGAAGTGTCAACTTTGCAGTCCAGTGCATTATCACACATTGCCACACCAAGACTCTAATACAAACATATGAAAGATGAAATGAAACAAATACAGATGATAATCCTGGAAGTCTGAGCTTCAGAGGAAAGGATATAGAAGTGGACTGAATACTGACTAGGAGAATCAGCTGAACAAACAAGAGTAGTGAAAAAGCAGACAGATGGGTGACTATGGGAAGGATCAATGCAGTGTGAGACCACTGAGAAGTTTTTCAAGCAGCACTGGATCCAGGAGGTGTCCTGATGGTGCATATGCATAATGGATAGTGGCTGGAGACCAGAAAAGTTAAATTCTCTCCTTCATCATGTTGCCAGCACCACCCTTTCCCACCCCCTGCACAGCTCTCTTCCTGCCAGATGTCAGAGTACAGTGCTGAGTGCACTACCCAGGGTCTAGAGGATTATAAACTCAGCTTCATCAGACCAGCAGAACACACAGTTTAAATTCGTCGCCAGCCCAGGACAAGCAGGAATTCTCATAATCAGCTCACCTGCCCCCAGCTACCCTCTGGGAAGCAAGACCCTGATATCTCAGCCACCCGTAGGTCCAGCACTTCTTCCAGAGTCGGTGCCCTGACAACATTGAGGCCACAGAAATGCCTTCTAAAGTCAGGCACTGCAACCTCTCAGCCATCCCCCTCAGACCTTACAAGCTACTTTGCTAACACAGGGAGGAGCCACAATGCCACAATACTGGATACCTGACCCCTAGCAGTGTCAGTGTCAGTGGCACCTGCCCTCACTTTGTCCTTTCTTTGTTTTTGTTTTTCCATTTTGTAGCTCTTTCTCTCCCTTACGTTACTTTTCAATTCCTTCTCTGCTTTCCTTTTTCCGCCTCACGTGCATCTTTTTGGCTTGATTTTCTTTAATATTATTCTCTTACCTTACTCTAGTCTTCTTCCCTCTCCCTAGTTTTGTTTGTTTGTTTTATTCTCTATCCCTGTTTAATTTTCCTTTTCTTTTTTATCTTTTTAGTTTTATTCTTTTTTCTTAATGCAGCTTGTTAGATTGTTTTTCTTCTTATTTTCGTTTCTCAGATGCTTTTTATTTTCCCTAACATGTATTTCTTTTTCATCTTCCCCCACCTAATGGGAAACTACCATGCCTAAAAAGAACAGTCAGAACCATGTCCCCTGCAGCCCAACTGACTGGGCATGAACTACTATGAGTACAAACTCCTATATCACCAGATCAGTAACAGGCCACAGTCAACACTAACCAAACCAACTCACACTGTATTATACAAACAGCAGAGAACCATGAATATACTTACACTCACTATCCTACCTACCCACCAACAGTCAAGTGATGAGTACCTAAGAGCAGACCAACATACAATAATAAATTCAATGCACCACCATCACATGTCTAGAAGACAACAGTTTCCACTCAAAGAAGAAACAAGTCAGACTGGCTCAAACAAGTAACTAAAATGCAGAGCTAGAAAATGTTTCTGAGTAAGAAAAGATATTACAACAACCTGATAAAGAATTTAAAAGAATGATATTTAGGTACCTTCAAACCAATTTGAGAGAAAAATTGAGAAATCTACTGATGAAAACAAGAACAGAGAAAAAATTTTTAGAAAAAATCAGGAAAACTCTACAAGAACAAAGGAGCCCTGGTAGAATAGTTGGGTAACAAGTTGGGGCTGCCAATATAAAGGTCAGCAGTTCTATTCTACCAGCCACTCCTCAGGAGGAAGATGAGGCTTTCTGCTTCCGTAAAGAGCTACAGTCCAGGAAATAATATGGTAGCTATGACAGGAACCAACTCAATGGTACAAAAAAAAAAAAAAAACCACCACAAGAAAAACTAACACAATAAAAGGAAAGACCATACAAAAACTGCCAATAGAGTTCCAGTCAATAAATACTATAAGAACCGGGTAATACACTGAAAGGGAAAAGGAATAGATCTGAATCAATCAGATCCTGAATTAGTGAGCCTGAAGACAATTTTCTCAATACTAGGCCTGCTAAAATAACAGAAAGAAAAAAGGAAAAAATCCAAAGAAAGCCTAAAATTGATATGGGACACCATCAAGAAGAGTAGCTTTTTAAAAAGTTATGGGAATTCCAGAAGAGAGGTGGGAAGAATAATTGAGTTGTTGGGAGAAAAATTCCCTAATATTATGAAAGATGAGAAGGTTTTAAAAATCAAACACCCCAAACAGAATACTCCAACAGAAAAAGTTTGATTCAGATAAATCAGAATCAAACTTTCCAAAGCTAACAACAAGGAGAGAATCCTTTGATCAACTGAGGAAAAACAAAAAGTTACTTACAAAAGAGAACTAATAACACTAAGTTCTGGTTTTTTAGCAGAAACTATGCAGGCAAGCAGGCAATGGGATGATGTATATGAAACAAATTGCCAAATCATATACTCTGCAAAATCGTCCCTGAAGGAGGAGGAATTAGGACATTTCCAGATAAACAGAACTTTATGAAAACATGACCAACTTTCCAAAAATACTAACACGAGTTCTTTGGAGAATGAACACTAACAGGCAACAATCTATATTCCAGAAGTCAACCCAAATATGAAAGCATCCAAAATAAAGCAAATCTACAAGACTGAAAATAGGGAACTAGAAATATTATTTTATAATGAAAACAAGTACAAAACAGACAGTAGTGATGATTGCACAACATGATCAATGTAACTTAACTAAAATGTCAATGAATTACACATGTAAAAAAAGGTTGAAAAGAGAAATGTTTTGGTATCTATATATTTTTGCTACAATTTAAAAAATAAAACGATCAGTATAGGAACTCAGTGTTCAAGGTTAAATAGCTAGAAATAACCCTGATTTTCAGAAGTTTTGACACTGTCTGTTAACAAAGATAAAAGTCAGCCATTGCTATGGATTGAAGGTGTCTTAGAAACTTGTATTTAAATCCTACTCACTATATCTGTAAGGAGCTCTGGTAGCGTAGTGGTTATGAATCGGGCTGCTAACCTCAAGGTCTGCAGTTTGAAACTACAAGCTGCTCCACGGGACAAAGATGAGGCTTTCTGTTCCCGTAAAGATTTGCAGCCTTGCAAAACCTACACAGGGTCACTATGAGTAAGAATCGACTCCACAGTACTTAACAACAACAACAACTATACCTGTGGTTCCAACACTTATTTTTGTTTGTTTGTTTTATTATGGTGGCCTGTGTCTTACTGCAATGCTGGAAGCTACTAAGTCAATGGTATTTTTAAAATAACAGCAGGATCACCTGGTGAACAGCTTTCAGCAGAGCTTCCAGACTAAGGCAGATTAGAAAGGAAATTGTTAGCCATTGAAATCCAATGAACAACAGCAGAACGCTGTAGATCTAGTGATGAAAGATGACCCTTGAGGTCAGAAGCACTTAAAATATGACTGGGTAGAGATGCCTCCTCAAAACAGAGTTGGCCTTAATGGCATGGATGGAGAAAAACTTCCAGGATCTCCATTTTCAGTTGGGGCACAACTCAAAATGATGAGACACAGCTCTAACTATCCATTAAGAATCAGAACGTGCAATGTATGAAGTACAAATTAAGGAAAATTAAAAGATGCTAAAATTTATATGGAAATTTTATTTAAATGAAATTTAAATTAAAATTGGGTATTTAACTATTCTTGATGTGTTTGTGCTATAGGATAACCATTGAACTGCTAGCCCAAGATCAGCAGTTCAAACAAACCAGCCTCTGCTCAGGAATTCTATATAGGGTTGTTAGGAGTTGGAACTGACCGCTCAGCACTAACAACAATCACCAATTTCTTCAGTCTGAAACTAATCACACATGTAATTAAGATGTACTGATAATACGGGTGATTGAAATAGAAGGGATGGAGAAATGGCAACCATAGCCTTGGTAACAGAAATTACACTGAAGATTGCATTATAGAGTTTTGCAAGACACCCTGCTCTCCTTGCAAATGCCTTCTTTCAAAAACAGAAATTGTGAGTATACACATGGACCTTGACAGATGGAATACATTCTGTGGAAAGAGACTATGGAGAAGCTCAGTACCAGTAAAAACAAGGAATAGATCATCTGCAAGTTCAGGTTGAAATAGATGAAAATTAAAACAAGTCCATCAGCACTAACTACAACACTGAACACATCCCAGGGAAGTTGTGGGATGAAATCAAGAACATTACAATGTACAAAAAAAAGAAAGAAAAGACCAAAATAGATGTCAGATGAGATTCTGAAACTTGCTCTTGAATACAATTCAATGGAAGAACTAG